GGAAGGACGGGTAGGAGAGGGGGAAAGGCTGGGGCTTCCGAAGCGGGGAAAGGAAGGCGGGAACGGGGAGGGGGCGAGGAAAAAAAAATCGTCCCCCTCCCTCCCCCGCTCCTTACGAAAGCCTGGACCCGTCTATGTAGGAAGACTCACACATGTAAGCACAAGGATGGGTCACTAGTCAGAATGCTAAATTGGCCAGTCACCAAATCCTGCCCGAGGAATAGTATTTGTCCAGGAACAGGGACAACCACTACCCCTCGGTTCGGCTCGGCCGTTACTCTATAGCTTCTCTGCTAACGCTATTTCGCAACGCGCTCGTCGGCGCCGCTTGGCATTTTGCGCTGGACAGCGCTATTCAGCGCACGACGACCGGAATGACTGTTTGTGAGGTAGCGCCGGCTGAAGGGGTTGGCGTGGATGGGGGTTGGGGGGGGAGGGGGTGGTAGGTGGGTGATCAGATACAGCGCCGGGGACACTGGGTTGGGCAGGATAGAGGAGAGCGACAAGGACGGTAGTGAGAAGCTTCAAACGATTAACGGTGACAGTGACTGGGTGGTGATAAGCGATGGATGCCCATATACCGCTGTGTAGGCAAGCAGAGCTAAGAGTCAGAAGTTCGAGGCAAGAACTGGAAACAGCAGTAAAGAGGAAGAGACAACAGAGCAGTACAAGAATAAATAGCAACGCGTACCAGACTAGCCGGTGCGATTATGCGTTTTGTGCAACTCAGCCAATCGAACGATTGCCTATTAATGATTTTCACTGCTTTGTACTTTAGTCTATGCAAAAGTAGTTCATACACTGGACGACAGTTGGAAATTTCACGCAGCAGCGCATGAAAGCTGAATTCGAAAACTTGAAGGGCGAATATCTTTCCGTGATTCCTGGGTTAATGGTTTGCCCGCAAAAACTTCCATTAGCCGGTAGGTGATACCCGAGAGTGCGGGAACGCTCAATTTGAGTAGGCAAGGTTGAGCGTGGGCAGGGGATCATTACCCTAATATTTCAGCCTCCTAGACTCCGTGGTTCCGGAGATAATAATTTACCCGTCAAAAATTTTCACGGGGCCGTAAGTGTTACATGCGGGTACAGGAAGGTTAGATTTGATTTTCTGTGTCGCACATGGTCAGAGGACATACCCATAAAATTTCAGCTTCCTAGCTTCCGTAGTTCCCGAGATACTGATTTTACCCGAAAAACTTTTACGAGGCCGTACGAGTTACCCGCGAGTACGGGAAGGCTGAATTTAAGAATCTGAACCTATGAATTGGTCAGCGCACTGACTGTTGACGCGAAGATGCGTTTTTTGCATAGTTTCTCACACGTTTTTGGCGCTAATGACACTGCTTTCCCGACAGATTCTTCTTGCTGAAAGAATTGAGACTGGCCAGCAAGAATGTAGGAAAACATCCCAATAAAATTTCAGCTTTCTAGCATTTCTGGTCCCGAGTCAGAAACTTGCCCGCCAAAAATTTTCACGGATCAATGTGAGAACCACGCAAAACTAGGGCAGAACATGAAGTAACTATGTTCTATGTGGGCCAGGAACGTCCTCTGACAAACAGGGAAACCAAGCCGAGCAGAGTGCCATTTATAAGACAATTTCCGCTCATTAGTTTTTCCCTTTGCTAAGTTTTTTATTTGTTTTTTGCTTTTGCTTCCCAGTTTTCATTCGCTTTTGATTTCCTCAGCTTTCATTCGTAATTTCACTTTTTTCCGTCTTTTCTTTCAAATGTTCGGGTTTTCTTTAGTTTTCTTTGTGCTGTTCTTCCTTTCTCTTTACTACTGTCTCCAGTTCTTGCCCCGAACTCCTGGCTAGCATTCTTATTTCTCCTTTTCCATCCTACCCCAAAATCCAACCTCTACAGCGGCATCTGGGCATCCGTCACTCAACACCTCCCAACCACCGTCACCAGTAATCGCTCCGAATTTCTAGCGCTCCTGTTCCACCTCTCTATCCTGCCCCAATCCGTGCCCGCAGAGCTGCATTTGTTCTCCTACCCACCATCTACCCCCAATCACGACGACCCCTTAAATCAGCATCCCCTCCCCCAAATCACGCGTTTAACGGTGGTGCGCTGGGTAGCGCCGCGTTTGAAGCGGTAACTTACACTGCTATAACTGGCAAGAGATAAAGGTTTGCTAAAGTGAATGAAATGTTATAATTAGTAAATTTAGCCCGGGCTGGAACGCACCAGTCTAGCCTGTGCAAGCATTCGTTTTTACTCAGCTTTTTACGCAGATTTCACTCAGAAGCGAGTGCATTTTGCAGCAGACGGCCGCCTTCATCCGCTCCTTACGTCCAGTTCCAGTTCTTCACTGAAAAGTGGAAATGTAGCTAGAACGGTCGTCCGTCTAAAAATCCAAATGTATAAATGAACTGGATGTTGGAAGAGAATAAGGGCGGTCGTTCGCTGCAAAATGCACTCATTTCTGAGTTTTTGTTAAAATTGGGTACTTCTCATACCCATCTGCAGGGAACTTCACTTCCATGCAGAATTAAGACCGCACTTGAAAATAGAATATCCCCGCGAACTTTCAGCCTTGCAAATTACCCGCTAAGCGAAACAGCCATTTTGCTACAAATTCCTTTAAATTGCCCTAGGTCGTGGTGCAAGTGCAAAACGGACGTCATTTTGGATATACAATTTCCCATACGGACCATCAATATTCTGACAAAATATCAGCCGCTGTTTTCCTGCTAGTTTTCGAGTTGACACAGTTCCGGGTGCAAACTTCGACGCTGACGCGACCATTCGCGCCGCACAAACGTGCGCAGTGGCTGAATTTGAAATCTTTAGCTCAAGCAAGCAGATAGAATATTCTTGCAAAGTCTGAACTTCCTATCTTGCATGGTTCCCAGAATCGTTTCCCGCCAAACAAATCTGCATATTCTTTCGGGGGTCCGTAGGCGAAATCTAGGCGCGTACGATGGAACGTCTTAAAATGGAGGATGGATACGGGGTGGGAATATTCCCCCAAAATTCCAGCCTTCCAGCTCTCCTCGCTGTTGAGTTGAAAGTGGGTGACAAAATTCACTCGCTTCCGAACACGCGCACAGACGGGCGACCTTTCGACAATATGTGTTTTTGCCCACTGCAGCAGCGCTATACACTGCTCAGCAAAAACGCATTAAAAAGAAACGAGCAAAAATTGATTGCTTCTGCGATGCCACTTGTCTGAGGAATCCACTGTAAAAATTTTTGCGACGGAGTCATAATGCAAAGACGCATAATTAGGACACTTGAATACTTGAGCAGCATCCGTATATCATCGACGTCCGTTGTTACGCCGTCGATGCAGCTGGCAATTTCTCCATTCGATTCGCTGTTACGCTATCTGAGTCCATGCGGTACGTTGGGTCTCTTCAATTCACTGGTGGCCTCCCTTGTGTCCGCTTGACTGTGCGCGGATATCATTCCATTAACAGCTTCGTCCATCTAATATCTGACATTCGTACCACATGCATAGAAAATTCTGCATACGTGTACTGGAGTTATGTTATGCACGTAATAGTGCCCCACTTTTGTGGATAGATTGCAGCCAGTATAGCATCTAGATGTGGAGACTATTTATACAAGATAGCGAATGAATGTGTATGAGAAAGATAACTTAACCATCTGAGCTATGTTGTACATGTACCGGTGCCCACTTTTGTGCGCAAGATAGCAGCGGTACACGAGATCTTCTGTACAGGATAGCTGGAGGATGTGAGATTATCTGTACTTTATATCGATAAAATGTGTACAATATATAGAATCAACCGTATAGGATGCCTCAAAATTCTGTATTGTATATGTGATATTTCTGTTTAGGATACTTCCAGAATGTCACAATTTACTATATAGAATACCTGATGTTTATGCCGAAATACTATATAAGATCGGCTCTTTATATGTATTGGTATACTGCAGATCTTGTACGTTATACGAACTGGTTTAACCAGCCAGCTGGTTCCATTCTGCGTGCTAATTGCAGTCTGTACTGCATTTAACGAGGAATTATTATGAGTTTTTTGCAGCTGTGCAATGCAGAAAACGCATATTGACGAGGGGTTGTCTGTGTGTCCGTGTGTCTGTGTATCTGTGCGTGCGTCTGTCACGCACTTTCATCTCAAGACCTATAAAAACTGCGGGGCTGAAATTTCGGGAATTTAATCTATAGGCACGTGCCGGCCCCAATCCTCAAAATGGGCGCCAACACCCGTGTGGTACCCGCGTACGGGCTCGCCAAAGTTTTTTGGGGTAAGTTCATAACTCGGGGATCTGAGAAGCTAGAACTCTGAAATCTTAGGAGAATGTTCCCGTCCAACTAGATATTAATGCACTCAAACCCATCCCTCGCGTAAGCGCGGTACCCGCGTACGGGCCTGTCAAATTTTTTTTCGGTTGAGTTCATAACTCGGGGATCTGAGAAGCTAGAACGCTGAAATCTTAAGGCAATGTTCCCAGTCCAAGTAGGCATTAACGAGTTAAAACCCTCCCCACGGACAAGCGTGGTACTTACGTACGGGCCCTTGAAATTTTCTTCCGGGCAAGTTGCTAACTCGGGAAAGTGAGAAGCTAGAAGACTGGGATTTTGAAGGGATGTTTCCTGACAGTCCTGGAGGCCAGTCTGAAATTCTTTTAGCTAAAAGCATCTGCCAGAAAAACCAGTGCCGTTAGCAACAAAAATCTGCGCGGAGCTATGCAAAACGTGCATTTTCGCAAGGGCAGCCCGTGAATTGGCCAGTTATTATTTTGTGATGTTGTTTGCATTCGTTTCGCTCTCCTCCTTTCCTCCCTCCCTTTCACATATGTCTGCTGCAAGGTGAGATGCATTAAGCATGATTTTTATAAAACTTATTTAAAAGAAATTTCATTCAAAATTTATCCAGGCATCCAAATAAGTGATTCACAAACAGGAATACTTACAAATAGAACAGAAATGCCACAAAAAAAAAAAACAGCTGTTACTGCAAGGGAAAAAAATTAAAGGAATTCAAAAAAGATCTCAAATTTTTAATCAAAAACAGTATTCCAAACAATGTGAGGTGAAATGAGAAT